GGCGGCAGCAGCGCGCGGCCAAGTTGGGGCTGAGCCCAGGGCTGGGGCGGCTCTGTCGGTGCTGGGGATGGGCCAGGTTGGAGGACCAAGCCCCCCAATAAACAGGGGCAGAACAGACCCCCCCCACCCCAGCCAGGGCTAGAGGGGAGGGCTGGCCCCATGGGGCACAGGTGTGTGGTCACAGCAGAGGGGCTGTGTGTCACCAGGGCAGGGTCACTGCCACTTTGCTTGCATCCCCCATATAGCCCCCCTACCTGGAGCAGGCTTGGTGCTGGGCATCTTCTAACACCATCTGGGGAGGGGGCTGGCCCCATGGGGCACAGGTGTGTGGTCACAGCAGAGGGGCTGTGTGTCACCAGGGCAGGGTCACTGCCACTTTGCTTGCATCCCCCATATAGCCCCCCTACCTGGAGCAGGCTTGGTGCTGGGCATCTTCTAACACCATCTGGGGAGGGAAGCAGTGGGGCTGGGTCAGTGGCCATGGGGGGTTGAAGGCTGGAGAGAAGAGACATCTTTCCTAGGCAGATCCCTCTAAAGATATGCTGGGACCCTGTGGCTGTGGAGAGGGTTCCAGCAAAGCTTGCTCCGTGCCAAAGACTCACAGCCACATTGGGTACTGGCAGGGCTGGACCATGAGCTGGCTTTCTCCAAGATCATCGTGGAGCTACGGAAGAAGCACCCGGGCCACATCCTGCCAGACGAGGACCTGCAGTGGGTGTTTGTGAACGCGGGCGGGTGGATGGGCTCCATGTGCCTCCTGCACGCCTCGCTTACCGAGTACGTGCTGCTCTTCGGGACAGCTGTCGACACGGTGGGCCACTCAGGTAAGCAGGGGGGTTTGTCTGAGCGCTTTCCCCTCCCGTTATTTGTGTCCAGTTGCCTGGGCCTTGCTGTGCCCAGGGCAGGGAGGGCACTGCTCCACTTCTTTTATGGGGCGCACGATGCTGGAAAAGCACAGTTTGCATGGGGACCAGCCCCTGTGGTGTCCTGCAGCACCCGCAGGTCCCTGTACGTGCCGTGCCTCGTGGCCAGGACTCTCTGCATCCAGCTGGCAGGCAGTGGCAAGTGTCGTGTCTCCTGGTGCTTCAGCAGGGAATGGATGCCAAACATGCTGGAAATTGTGTAGCTTAAGGACTCTGAGCAACCCAGGCGGGTGGGATATGGCCAGTCAGTCAGGCAGCCTGGTGCCACATCCAGCTGTTCTCAGTGGGTCAAGACTGTGAGGCTGGCATCCTTCCCACCCGAGGCTGCTCCATGGCTCAGACCTGGGATGCACTGAGCCAGTGCCACCTCTCCTCCCACAGGTCGGTACTGGGCAGATATCTCTGACACTGTCATCTCGGGAACCTTCCGGCAGTGGAAGGAGGGGACCACCAGAAGTGAGATCTACTATCCAGGTAAGCCCAGCAGCCACAGTGCCCTGCAGGCTGCATCCATGTCCAGGGACATAGCCACTCTGCAGAGTGTTCCTCCACTGTCGCAGAGCCTCCCTCCTTCCAGCTGGCAGAAGCCAGGACCTTGCAATGGGGCAGTTTGCGTCCCCAGCATCTCAGTCAGTGCCAGCAAGAGAAAAGTTAGCAAGACTGGGGAGGGATTGGGGTGCTTAGTCGTGCAGGGCACCATCCCACATGTCTCCTCCCTAGGGGTGGTGCAGGGCAGTGACTCAAAGCCATGCTGGTTGTGTGTGTTGGCAGGGGACACCATCGTGCACCAGGCAGGAGAGGCCACGTCAGTGCAGTGGAGCGCAGGCACCTGGATGGTGGAGTACGGCCGGGGCTTCATCCCCTCCACACTTGCCTTTGCCCTGGCTGACACTCTTTTCAGCACTCAGGACTTCGTCACCCTCTTCTACACTTTGCGTGTCTATGCCAAGGGCCTGCTCCTGGAAGCCAATGCCTTCTTCAGTACCTGGGGAGGCTGAGCCTGGCCCACCGGGGCATCCTGCCAGGCACAGCTGGCTCCTCTCTTTCCAGCCTTCTTCCCCCCTCCTCCCTGAGCCCAGACTCTAGCAAGGAGACCCCCTTTGCCTCCCCCAGATCGCTCTGTCCTTCCCTAAAGGCTAACTGGGTGCCAGGACAGAGGAACTGTGGCAGTCACAGCAAACAGACTGCCAGTTTTCTTTACTATCTGCCTCTCCCCACATATTGATCAGAGCCATGTCCTGCTTTTCTATCCCTCGGGAGCTGGAGTGGCCTCGCGGGGTGCTAACAACCCTGTGTGGCCTCAGCATGCAGTGGGAGAGAGGCTGGAGCTCACTGTCCCCAGGCTCCACAAAATTTCTGCAGCTTCTGAGACATCAGGAGGAGGATGCTGCCCTTGGGGCACGGTGCATAGGATCAGCTGGGCCAAAGCACCTTCTGTAGAGGTCAGCCAAGAGGTTCCCTGTCTCCCTGGCAGGCTCCCAGGGCTGTGGGCAGCACAGAGTGCTGTATCCAGCTGGCAGCATCTCCAGTGGCTCTGTCCCCATTGATGTGGGCTGGCAGCACACAGTGTCCACCTAGCACAGGGCAGGATCTGTGCTGGCACTCCCTGGTAGCGAGGAGATGCCCAGCTTCTGTTCTGCAGGTCCCTTTTGGTCCCCTGTGTGTCATCTGCCCCAGGGGATGGGGATCCCTTTCCCCACAGTCCTCTCTTCAGTCCCCTCCAAGGAGGAGAGCCACCGTATGTCGCCTTAACCAAGAGCCTGTCCTGCGTGGCCTCTGGGCTGTGCTCATACCTAGTGTTGTGGGTGCCCAAACCTCTGTACTAGCTCAGGATGGGATCTTTTGACCGTGAAATGTTTCCCCTGGCTGTGAGGCCCCCTGGGGACAGCCACCCCATTCAGCTCCCAGCACAGGGTTCCAGATACCAAGGGAGCACCATGGATTCCTGACCGAGCTGGGCTGCGGGCCCTGCAGCCCTGTGGCCAGACCTTTGTGGGCTGGCTGCTTGGTGGAGGACTTTCACCTCCGTGCTGCTGCCAAACTAACGTCTGTGTCCCTGGCCACCAGTCCTGCAGCATGTTGCTCCTCCTGCTCCCCGGACTGTCCCCATCCTGCTGACTGGCAGCCCCGCACGTGGGCTGCTTCTTAATTTGTCACCTGAAAAGAGATAATCGGTAATAAAATTGTTCATCCCACCCTCTCGGGTCCCTGGGAGAGTCTCTGGAGTGTGCTGAGCCCCTGTCACAGGGAGCGGCACCAGATCCATCCAGCTCTGGGCTTGGTGGGAGTCCTGCTGGCAGCTGGGGACAGATGGATGTCAGCATCATCCTGCTTGGGGTCCTGGGAGCCGTGGGGTGCAGTGCAGGATCAGGCCCGTTTCAGCTCCCAGGGATCGGCAGGAGATGGTGCTGTTACTCCTCTCTCCACTGCAGTTGCTGGGGTCCCAGAAGCCTGAGCGGGTACTAGGGCCCTGCTTCCAGAGTGGACCTAGAGTCTTGGAGCTCCATCCTTTTAGAGGACGGTGCTGATGGTGGGTGTGCAGCCCTAGGGGAGGAGAGACCCCCGGTGCAGTGGGTTAGTGGTCCTGAGAGGTTCACACAGACACACACACTCCCTCCAGTGTGCAATAGGCACAGGAGGGAATCACAGGGTATGTAGTCTGTGTG